ACACACACACACACACATGAATCAAACCATATCAGGACATTCTCTGTTTCCAAAACACACAAACCAGACACACACGGATAGAAAGCAGATCAGAACACGTCAGCTCATTATTTCACTTGTTGACTTTGTTATTGTGCGTCTCTCTTTCAGCTCTTTAAACGCTGTGTGTGTTTGACGACAGCAGCTGCAGCTCTGAACGCAGGAGACATTTCGTTATTGAAGTCTTTGTGCGACTCGACACAAACGAAGAGAAGACGAGGGAAATCCCTCAGAAATAAAGAAAACATCACGAGGGGAGTTTATGGTCAACGCACGAGATCAGAGACCAAACACTTTGTCGTGGGTTTCCTTTTTGTCGTCAGCACAGTGTGTGTGTGTGTGTGTGTTTCTATGCAAATGAAAGGAGACTGAGGAAATAATGCAAACGACCTCAGAGGCCAGAGGCAACAAAGAAAATCCACGTGGCCGACGTTGTCAAGGCAACAGGCAAACACGGGGAACAGGGGGGAGCAATAAAATGGACTGAGGGACCGTCGACTTAAAGTGAAGCTGCAGAACTCAAACACACAGTGGTTCCGTTCCGCTCTGGCATCAGACGACAAAACTCACGGCAGTGGCGTTATCGCCCGGATGATGCGAGAGCTGATTAACACGCGGTGACGTCACAGAGTTAGATGTGAAAGGTGTCGTTCTAGAGAGACGAGAGTCTCAAAGTCGTTTGAGCGCATTCGGTTTTTACAGTTTAACACAGTGTTCAGAGCCGAGGGTCAGATTTGGAAATGCAAACGTGAGTCATGTGTTTTACAACTGACTGGAAGTTATGTCATCCACTTCCTTCCTGCTGCAGACGAATCAGAAACCAACTGTTCACGGAATTTGATCAGTAAACAAAGCTTCTCGCCATCATGTTTAGAAAACGTCCACGTGCACGAGCAGCCGGACTGTAGCGCGTATAGAAACAGTCACACCCCCAACATGTTTACATCAAGATGGCGGCACGCGTCCGCCTCGTTGTGTTTGTGTGCACTTCTTGTCTCGGCAACCGACCTTTGAGTCGTAGGCGGACTGCTGGATGACCTCGGGAGCCATCCAGAACGGCGTTCCCACGAAGGTTTCCCTCTTGATCTGCGTGTCCGTCAGCTGACCGGCCACGCCGAAGTCCGCCAGCTTCACCTGACCGTGCTCCGACAGCAGGACGTTGGCAGCTGCGGACAAATTACCAGCGTGCTTTAGATTATCAGTGTAAATCGGCTGTAAAGTCATGAACTGTCCAGTTTATCTATGACCCGGGAAGAGCCGAGGCGTTACAGATGGTACTTCTTGTTTTCAGATATGTCGTATCTCTGGTGGTTTTCTTTTCACAGAACTAGTTTGTGGCTCCACCCGACCTGGAGCAACAGCTGGGTGAAGATATTTTACGACTCACATTTACCTGTTTTATCTTAAACTGACTTCAGCGCAGAACTTTTAACCACGGTGGTGAAAGGCAGTGAAAGCAGAAGCCATTGTTTGTAATGTCAGCCGCACCTTTAATGTCTCTGTGGATCTTCTTCTCTGAGTGCAGGTAGTCGAGACCCTTCAGGATCTCCTTCAACATGGTGGCAATCTGAGACTCGTCAAACGGACCCGCCCGCAGCTACACACACACACACACACAATAAAATAAAAGTAAACATAAAAGCTGCAGTTTATTTTCTAAATCTTTACCATTTGTTTTCCTCTAAAAATGTTTTATTTTGTCTTCATCTCATTCATTTGTTGATTTACAAGGATTCAAATCTGCTTCGTCACTTATTAAAAATCTACCAAACAGCAGAGTTGCACAGTCTCGTTCTAAATGTCTCAGACCAAACTGAGGGAATCATTTTAATATCTGTTCTAACACTCACCAAGTCCAGAGCTGAACCTCCACCCAGATACTCCATGATGATCCATAGTTTACTGCCCTGAATATAATGTAGTAAATAACGTTTCAGTCTGTTTCCATCACTTGAATTAAAACCAATATTCTTACGTTACATATTGTTCTCGCCTCCGTCCGGGTCTCACCTTCAGGTAGGAGCCGTAGTACTTGGTGATGTAGGGACTGTCGCACTGACTGAGAACCGTGATCTCCTGCTGGATGTCCTCGATCTCGTCCTCCGCCTCCTCCAGGTCAATGGTCTTTATGGCAACGACGCTCTGAGTGCGATTATCGATGCCTTTAAACACCTGCAGGAGGAGGAGGAGAAATTAAACACACTCCAGAAAATCTGAAAATAAACTGAGGCGACAACTAAAACAATTAACTAGATTATGGTCAAACGAAAAGTGAACAATTAGGCCACACCTCTCCAAACGATCCTTTTCCGATACGATCCAGTTTAGTGAACAACTCCTCAGGATCGATCTGAGAGCTCTTAGAGGAGAGGACGAGAAAAGATAGATATAAATATATA